TCCAGGATCACTGGGGGGCAAACTGGCCTGGAGAAAAATTGCTTCCTGGTCCCAAAGTGGCGATCAGCATTTCCCTGGGCGTGTAAGAAAGGGCCACGAGCACTAAGCACTGATGCAACCCTTCCTGCTCTACCTCTCGTGATTTGCCTAAGTTCACACAATCAGCATTATGATCCTTTTTAAAGTTGAAAGCATGATATAAATGCAAAGGACTATTTGTAAGATTATCTGTAAGACACAAGACCAGGACGCATCTCACTTCTGGCAATCACTTGGAGAGACCCTATCACTCAGCTTCCATTGCCCCCCACACACCCCACACTGGAATAAGAACATAATATCAGGCCATACCACATTGCAATAAAGCCCCTACAACTGTATACAGAAATACTGAGCTTCCCTACCATTTGCCACAACTAGCCCACCACACAACCAGGATCAAGACTCCTAAGTGGACCAACAGACAGGCATACACTTGTTTGAGAAACTGAGTATTACATTACAACACCTCTGGAACATTACAGATCAGTAGAGGCAGCACTGCACAGTGGTCAGAGTTGCAGATTGATGTGGGGAGACCCAGGTTTGTATTCTCACTCTGCTGGCTGAGTGACCCCAGGCCAAATCTCCCCTTCTCTAGCTAACCTACCCCACAGGGTTGTTGTGAGGATGAAATGGAGACTCATGGGCAGGGTCCCCAGCTTCCCTGGCAGGAACACTATGTTAAGAAATCTCTCACAATTATGCAGCCATAGCAGGCAGGAGGGAAGGAGGCGAATACCTCCAGCGCCAGAGACTTGTAGGGGAAGAGTCAAACTTTGGGGACTCACCCGTGCACCAGAGGGCCAAGGCAGCAGGAGGCAAGAAGCCTGGGCGAGCTGGGCTCCTCCATGCCTGGCAGAAGATGAGGTGCAGAGGCGAGAGGTGGGCAAGCAAAAGATGCACTCAGCCAGCCGCACAAGCTGCGTGCAAAGAAACTCCCGCCGCCCCAAGCTTCAGGGCTGCCTCGTTAAAGGAGTGCGGAGGCCAGACTCACAAAAGAGAAAAAGCAAGCTCAGGGTTCGTGGGTCACATTTTGGGCTGTGGAAGAGGAACCGGCTCCATTCTTGGAATTCCCTAGAGTTCCTGCGCTTTTGATTTTGCTTTTTGCCAATCCGCCTCCCAAGACTGCTCCAGGTGCTCCGGCCTGAGGGCTGCTGGGGGACACTTGTTCTTTCCAGTCTTTTCTTCCCCTCCCCGCATTTTTATACTCTGCCTGCCTGCCTGCCTGCCTGCCTGCCTGCCTAGGTTTCTCTCTGCTTTGCCCCACGCATCCTGTCATGTTCGTGTCCCTGCTGCTGGGACTAGGGATAGCCATGAACTAGAAAAATGCAGTTTGTGTTGGTCTGCTCCCCACCGCTCAGCTGTTTTGGGCTTTCTTGTGCAGTCACTTTAAAGGCTTTTCACAGGGAGCAGAAATCAGTGGTTTAAATGGCTCCCAGCTGTTTTTCAGGAAGAGCAGAAAGCAGTGGTTTAACCCCCTGCATTCTGCTTTTCATGAACCACTGTGAACTGCATCAAAATTCATGAAGGTTCATGGTACACGAACCCCCCCAATGGCATCCATGGGCACCACGTTGGGCACCCCTGCTCTTGTGCCTCGACTGCTATGCAGTTCCTACAGCAGGTTCTGTAATCTTGTGAATATTTCATGGCATCTCATTCAGCATTCTCTGTTTTGGAGAAATTTTAACCACAACTCATCTTTTTAAAAAACGTTTCCACTCTGCAAACCTGGTCTGTAGAAACATGCCACTTGTCTGTCAAGGACTTTTTATGCGTATTTATTCATCTACATTTTGTGCCCAAATTCAGAATTTGATATAAGAGATGCTTTGTTACTATTAGAGAAGTCACAAACCAGGAAGATTCGGTAGGCAAGTAGAAGAAGAGAAGAGATTGGATTTATACCCCGCCCTTCACCACCCAAAGGAGTCTCAGAGTGGCTTACAAACTCCTTTCCCCTCCCCTCCCCACAACAGACACCCTGTGAGGTAGGTGGGGCTGAGAGAGCTCTGACAGAAACTGCTCTTTCCAGAACAGCTCTGGCCAGAACTATTGCTTGCCCAAGATCATCCAGCAGCTGTTAGTGGAGCAGTGGGGAATCAAACTCGGTTCTCCCAGATTAGAGCCCACACACTTAACCACTATGCCAAACTGGCTCTCAAGTACACAGTGTTTGACTGCTGTGACTGACTAGGGGCCAAGTCTTGGATCTCCCTGCCTCACCACGGTCTCAGTGCTCAGCAGCAGCAGCCACCAAATGGTGACAAGGAAGGCATGGGAGGCGGTACTTGGTGGTGGCAGTGGTCGTGGCTTTTTTGTGCAGGCGAGTAGACACCGAGGGCCCTGTGGAGCAGCAGGGATGGTGGTGAGGCTCTAAGGAAAGGTGCAGGAGGACTTGCCAAACAGCAGGGGAGGGGACAGGCCCAACAAAGAGAGTTCAACCTCTCGTGCACAAAAGAACAACCAGTTGAGCAGCTGGCCACATGGTTATAACCAGGGAGCAGGGCATTAGCTGTACTGGTGAGTGTTCAAGCATCCTTAATTATTCTCGGTGACATTACTGCTGTTTTATTATAGCATTTTAACATTATATAAGCAGCTTGGTGGGAGGCAAGAATCAAAAGGCAGAATCTAAGCAGGTCAAATAAACAAAGAAATAAAATTAGCATTCCAGAACATTGCATAATTCTTCTCCTACAGACTCCATGTTTCCATATTAATGAAATTATATTGCACAGTAGAGTTCACACTGTCCCCTCAATATGGCTTTCAAACTCCACAATGCTATTAAGTTCAGCATTCAGGTCAATGGAAAGTTAACCCCTAAAGTCCAAAACTGTAACATTTGATTTCAAAAGAGGGAACCTTACAAAAATGAAGGGGAATAGTAAAAAGGAAGCTGAAGGGGAAACACAAGAGAGCCCAATCCCTGGCGGATGCTTGGAAGCTATTTAAAGCCACACTAATTGATGCCCAAATAGATTGAATTCCACAAGTTAGGAAATGCACTGCCAAGTCAGTTTGGTGTAGTGGTTAAGTGGGAGAACTGGGTTTGATTCCCCACTCCTCCACTTGCACCTGGCTGCACGACCTTGGGCAAGCCGTAGTTCTGATAAGAGCTGTCCTTGAAAAAGAGCAGTTTCTGTCAGAGCTCTTTCAGCCCCACCTACCTCGCAGGGTGTCTGTTGTGGGGAGGGGAAGGGAGAGGAGATTGTAAGCCACTCTGAGACTCCTTTGGGTAGTGAAGGGGGGGGTATAAATCCAATCTCTTCTTCTTCGTCTTCTTCTAAAAGAAGAACTGAGTGGTTAACAACACAAGTCAAGTAAGCTATAAAAAGTAAAGAGGCTTCTTTTTTAAAAATGGAAGGTCTGCCCCAATGAATTGAACAAGACGGAACACAAGCTCTGGCAAAAGAAATGTAAGCCAATAATTAGGCATGCAAAAAGGAGATTTTAGTGGGTTGCTAAAAGCATCAAGACAAACAATAAATATTTTTAAAAACTATATCCAGGCCCTGTTAACGCAGCGAATTTGCCGTGGGAGAGCCACGAATGTTGGGCGGATTTTCCAGGTACGATCCCACCGCAACATCTGGGGGGCGTAGTACACCTGTGGCCAACCTGTGACATCCCTCTGAAAATGCACAGTTAAAAAGTACCTGGCCAAAAAGTACTGGCAAATGGTTTGCCACAGGCTGCTGACGGACTCCGTCTGTGTAATCACGCCGCCGTGGCTTTTCCCCTCCGGCCATCTTTGGTGAAGCGCACGCACCGAGGGACAGAACCGTGGTTTGCTGCCGACGCCTCTGATCACATTGTCACGGGTCTAATTGCACCGCCGCAAATAGCCATGCCTCCCCCCTGCGTTTTCTGGCACATGTGACCGGGGCCCCCAGAAAGGAAACTAGCCAGAGAAGCAGTAGTGCCTTTGGATGACAAAGGAATAAAGGGATTGCTAAAGGAAGATGGAGAGATGGCAGAGAAGCTCAATGACTTTTTTGCTTCTGTGTTCACTGTGGAAAGTGTGGGGCACAGACCCATGCCACAGCCCCTATTTTCAGGAAGGGAGTCTGAAGAACTGAGCCAATTTTTTCCCCTCCAGGACCCAATGGCATACACCTAAGCAGGGGTCATTTCGTAGAAAAAGAGCTAGGGGGACTCATTAGCATAACTCATTAGCATATGCCACACCCCCTGACATCACCGGAAGTGTGTCCTCCCCACAGCCGGCGGCGACCTCCAGCGGGCACCAGCAGGGAGCTCCAGGCCCCGCCCTCCCGCACCTCACCCGGGGGGATGGCGTCCCCCCGCGTCCCCCCCCCAAATGACCCCTGCACTTAAGAGTTCTTAAGGAACTTAGATGTGATATAGTTGATCTACTAACCCTATCACTACATTCAGGTGCTGTACCAGAAGACTGGAGAGTAGCAAATGTGGCACCAATTTTTAAAAAAGGGATCCAGAGGAGAACCAAGAAATTTCAGACTAGTCAACCTAATGTCTGTCCCAGGCAAATTAGTACAAACTGTCATCAAAGACAGAATTGTTAGGCACACAGAGGAACAAAGCCTGCTGAGGGAAGGGAAGTCCTGCCTCCTCAACCTTATGGAGTTGAGAAAGTGAAAAAGCATGAAGACAACGGTGACCTGGTAGACTTTATATACCTGGACTTTCAAAAGGTTTTTGACAAGGTACCTCACCATAGACTCCTGAGTAAACTTAGCAGTCATGGGATAAGAGGGCAGGTTGTCTTATGGATTAAAAACTGGTTAAATGACAGCAAGCAAAGAATAGGAATAAATGGACATTTCTCACAATGGAGGGAATTAAGCAGTGGGGATCAATATTAGGGCTGGTACTATTTAATTTATTCCTAAACAACTGGGAAGCAGGGATGAGTAGTATGGTGGCCAAGTTTGCAGATGATGCAAAATGGTTCAGGATGGTGAAAATCAAAGCTGACTGTGAAGAGCTCCAATGGGACCTCCAGAAACTGGATGAGTGGGTGACACTGTGGTGAATGAAGTTCAATGGTGGTAAATCTAAGGTGATGCACAAAAAAATCCCAGCTCCAAGTATAGGCTAATGGGGTCTGACTTGGCTGAGACTGAGAGGGGAAAAGATCTTGGGGTCATCATTGTGGATAGTTCAGTGAACGTGTCAACCCCGTGTGCTGCAGCAGTGAAAAAGGCAAACTCTATGTTAGGGATTGAGAATTGCTGATATTGTAATGTCCTTGTATAGATCTATGGTGCTGCCTCATTTGGAATACTGTGTACAGTTCTGATCACCTTATCTCAAAAAGGACACTGCAGAGCTGGAAAAAGTACAGGGGAAAAAGTACAGCCACACATGCTGGAAAATGCACCGGGGGGGGGGAACTGAGGCTATTTGCGCCGCAGTAATTTGACCCGCCACTGCATGATCAGATGCAATGGCAGGCGAAGTGGGTTTTTCTTCTTTGCCACGTGTTGCCGGTGCACTTCATCGAGGGATCAGTGACGCAATCGGAGCGCACTAGAGCGATCACACAGGACACTCTGTCTGTGGCCTGTCACAAACCCATTTGATACTGCACTTTCCCAGGTATTTTTTAACCCCGCTTCTTCGGCGGGGTGCGATGGGTTGCTGACAGGAGCAGGATGCTTGCCAGATGTTCCCATGTGATCGCGCCCTTAAAATTGGTTAATTCTGCGTGTGGACGGGACCAGAGAAGGGCAACCAAGATGATTGGAGCACTTTCTGTATGAGGAAAGGCTGAAGAGTCTGGGACTTTTCAGTTTAGAAAAGAGATAACAGGCTGCGGTCACATGGAGCATTAACCATGTTGCATAAATGGAAGATAGGCGGACTTTCCGGTCACAATCTCACCGCAACATCTGGGGAGCGTAGAGCTCCCGTGGCTGACCCGTGACTACCCTCCGAAGACGCGCAGTAAAAAACTAGTACCTCGGAGGTACTACCCTCCGGGAACCGCGCAGCAAGAGCGGGCGCCTGATCGTGTCCCTGCCGGACTCCTGAGGCATCTGGCACCCGCCGGGTTGTTCCCCCCCATACCTCCAGAAGCACCCAACAGCACATGCGCGGCGTCGTTGGGGTCGAGGGAGGACCATGGGGGGCTGCGATGGGGGTGAGCGGCAGCGGCCAGGTGGAGAGCGGGCCGCGTGTCCCAGGGAGGGAGGACGGGAGGGCTGCTGGTGGGGAGGGGGATCTGGTGGGTTACTCCCCCTCCCCTCCTCCTTGTGAGTGGCCCACGGACCCTGCCCGGAGTGGGCTGTGCACGGCCCTCCCAGAGGCGGCTGCTCGTTCCATCCCCTTCCCATCGGCCGGATGCTCTCGGTGGAGGTGCGGATACTCGTGTGATCGGCAGCTCCACCCTAACCACGGGACCTCGCCGGGACCTCACCGAGACGTCTGATCCCGCAGCAGCATGGTATTTTGCCCCGGGGCAAACAGCCACGCTTCCGCCACGCTTTTTCCTGGCCGTGTGGCCGGGGCCTAAGTGGGACATGATAGAGATTTTTAAAATTATGCATGAGGTGGAGACAGTTGAAAAGAGAAATTTTTCTCCCTCTCCCAAAATAGTAGAACTTGAGGGCATCCAACAAAACTGATGGGCAGTAGGTTCAGGATGGACAAAAGGAAATACTACTTTACACAGAGAGTGATTAAAATGTGGAATTCTCTGCCAGAGGATGGAGTGATGGCCACGGGAGTAAACTGCTTTAAAAGGGGACTAGATAGATTCATGGAGTCCATCAGTGGCTACTAGCCATGGTGACTGAGGGGAGCTTCCACATTCAGAAGTAGTAATCCTCTGAATCTCAGAGCCAGGAGGCAACATCAGGGGAAGGCCTCAGCCTCTATGCCCTGTTGTTGGATGTCCAGAGGGAGTGTTGGTGGGAATGTAGTAATGAAGTACATTGGATAACTAGTGTTGCTTTTAAGACATACATGTAAATGAATAGGCATTGTGAAGAAATGCATTTTTTTGGAGGTTTGAAATGAGCAAAACTCTGCATTTTAAACGTTTTTTCCTCCCCTCTCTGGGCAGAGAACAGGAAGGAAGGGAAGAAGTCAGTTCAATTGCTTTCCAGGTGTACCTCAGCCCACGTTCATTCAAATGCTAACAGGTCTAGCTAGAGACAATAGGAGGGTCCAGTCTCCCCCTCCCTTCAAGCAGGGAACAGAAATTTGGAGGAATTAACTACTAGAGAGGCTGCAAGAAGGAAACTTCTTGAGGCTTCAGGAAAATCTTCCTTGACCTGGCCTAACTGGGTCAGTGGGAGGGGAAAGGGAGAAGATGAAACTCAGGGGAGCTAAGAGGAAGCTCTCTGTCATGCTGGGTCCATCAGAGTAGACAGAACTCTTTACTGGGGTCTGGAGCAGGCAGCCATTTTAACCATGTGCTGTCCTGGAGAGCTGGAGGAAGCTTCAAGGTAATGGTAACTCTGAAGAGATCTATAACATCCTATGCTAAAAAGCCTGTCCTATAATTTTCACATCTGATAGGGCATGTATCGAGAGAGGGTCCCAAGAATTGTATTTTATCAATTTTTCTTGAGCTCCTTGCTTAATCTGGTGCTGTGCTGAAAGTATGCTTATGAACATTTTCTTTCTAATAAAAACTTTATAACTTTTCATGCTGGAAGTGGTTCTCTGTACCACATAGACCTCGACCATCTTGGATACAGTATTCTAAGAGGAGCATCAGGGAGAAGACAGGCAGTTGGCAAATGGCTATTCCTCCAAGGCAGTAAACTGTCCCCATGGTGATCAGGCATTGGGCAGCAGGAGACACAGAGGCAAGGCCTCAGAACTTGGAAGGGAAGCTGGGAGTTTTGACCCTCCCAGCGGGCAATTCCTACAAAGCTCAGTTGGTGGTGGCAGGTCACGCAGGGCTCTTTTTGTAGTAGGAACTCCTTTGCATATTAGGCCACACCCCCTAATGTAGCCAATCCTCCAAGAGCTTACAGAGCTCTTCTTACAGGAGCTACTGTAAGCTCTTGGAGGATTGGCTACATTAGGGGTGTGTCGCTTAATATGCAAATGAGTACCTGCTATAAAAAGAGCCCTGCTAGGGAGAGAATGAAAAGCCTCCCCAGGCATTAGGACAACCTTGCAGGGCAGGGTGGAATAGGGCCTGCAGGCATAGATAGAACAGTACAACATTTATTTAGTTACTAGGAGTCAGCTTTACCTTTATGATCAACCTATGTTACTTTTCAGATCCAGTATGGTTGGCTCCAACATGATCTGGGGCATATCTCAGTGTTCCCGAGCACCAAATGGAACCGGTGGTTTCACATGGTTGTGATGGGTCTCCTTCAGGCAAGTACCAAGTTTATTTATTTAAATATTTTAATTTTGATCTCTCTCACAATGGGACTCAAAGTGGCCCTACAGTACAATACAGATTTTAACAAAAACATACAACCAAGCAGGCCATAGTCCAGCACTGAGACCCAAGGACATTCTGAAGTAATGCTGGTTCTGGCAGCACAGCTTACACAGGGCCTCAAGATTCAGTCCAAAGGCCATGGGCCAGTAAAGAACCCTTTAGCTCATGAAAAGGCTCATGCCTTTGGACAAGCCTAGGCTTCCAGTTAAAGTTACTCAGGTTTCTGTGAACGGCGTGTCAATCAGATATAGGTGAGATTTCTGTATGTGCTTGTGTGCATTGGGCATCTAAAGGTTTCTAAAGCATTCTGAGATAGTTATTTGAAAACTGATTTACTTTAAAGTTCATATAATCAATTATGCTCAAAAAAATCTTTGCATGTGGTCTTTCTATACTCATAGGGTTAATCTGTACCTATTATCATCTTGCTGAAAAAAGAGAGTTGTATCTTTTTTCAGTAAAGTCCATTAAAAAGGTAAAGGTAAAAGTTCCCTTGCTCGAAAGCCAGTCGAATTCGATTCTAGGGTTGCGGTGCTCATCTCCGTTTCAAAGCCGAAGAGCCAGCGCTGTCTGAAGACATTTCCGTGGTCATGTGGCCGGCATGACTAAACACTAAGGTACACGGAATGCTGTTACCTTCCCACTGAAGTGGTACCTATTTATCTACTTGCAATTTCTTGCTTTCGAACTGCTAGGTTGTCAGGAGCTGGAACTAGAGACGGGAGCTCACTCCGTCATGCGGCACTCGGGTCTTGAACTGCTGAACTACCAACCTTCCACAGCCTGCAGTTCAGCGTATTAACCACTTGAGCTATTAGCCTGATGAAAGTTTCTGTCTGGTTTGTTGATGCAATGTTAAACACAGAAGTCACTTATAAATATTGTCCTATTGTGGATAACTTGGCCCCATTCCCAGATTTTTCCCATATAGATTCTTTTGAAGACTCCGAAAACTACTTGGTGGATGTGGTCAGACGTGCCATTTGATCTGGTGTTGTGACGGTTCAGCAATGGCTTCATTTTATATCCACGTTCACACACCCAACATCTGCACACCGTCTCCAGCCGTTGGTTTCCGGCTCAAACCCCCTTTAAACTGGAGTATTTTGTTACCAGGTCCCCAAGTGGTGTTTTCCTGATTCTCTGGTTCCAGACGCACTTTTCTAACGTCTGATCGCTCCTGCGGTGTCAAGCCACTTCCAGTTTAAACCCCCTCCCCGCTTGAAAGCTGCCCGAGGCTTCCGCTTTTCGCCCACCATTTTTTTTAATGTATTGGCGGTCTGCGCATAGGCAGCGCTCTGCCACCGCGTTTAGAAAACTGACATTTAAACGGACACTTGTTTTAATGTTGAAATGAGTTTGAGATCTCACGGAGGCCATTTTCGGGTCAAACATTTAAAGGGAAGTCTTTTGTTGGAGGGGTTGGATTGATTCGCTCTGGTGGTTCTGCGCATGCGCCATGGTAGTGCCCCTCTTCTATGGAGGGGTGCCTATGTGCATGCGCAAACTGAGGATTTTTTTTTAAAAGCCTGCCGACACACGCTCCCGCGCGTCGGTAGTGTATTTGCCAGGGAGCGACGTGACTGCGCAGTGAGGCGGGACAAGGGAAGTAAGTGTGATTGCAATTATCCAGATAAAATATAATCCGGTTAGAACTGGAGCAGTTTAACCCGCTCTCAGCACACCATCTGACTGCACCCGGTGGGTGCCAATAATTCTCACTGAACAAGTGGTTCAGATTTTTGATGGGATACAGGATAGTTATCTCATTGCAGAGGGGCAGATGCTCAGATATTCCCCATCTCCTCCCTGCTGCACCTTTGACCAAGCCCAGGCTTTAAGTTACCGAAAGAAAAGAGATGTGCAGATGCCCAGCCCCAGTCTTATTCAGCCAGCACAGGTGTTCCTAATCCCCTCTCCCACCCGTGCCTCTGGCCAAGTCCAGGGTTTAAGTCACCTTTGAAAAAGGGAGGAGCAGATGCTCAGCCAAGATATTGTTCAGCCATTGCAGATGTTCCCATACTAGCTTATGAGCAATGCTACCAACAAAATGACAGGCTCTTTAAACACTACAGCAGAAAATAAGTCAAGGTTATCGAGCATTCCAAAACTCACAGTTGCATCCCACTCTTCACCATCAGCCTACAAGATAAATGAGGAGAAGACTTCTTGTTATAAAACCTTCTCTCCCATGAGCAACATGTTTAAGGATGGGCTTGGTTGTTGCAATGAAAACATTTTAATTTCCCTGTTCACACAATCAGTAATGTGTGGGTTAAATCCTTCCTCTTATCACAGTGGTGGCCCTGATGAAAGTCTGCACTGAAATCACTTTGGAGGTGGTGAAACGTGGCATAATGCTCGGCAGTACAGCTTTGAGCAAATGCTGTCGAGTAGCATCTGCCTTCCTGTGCACAGTGGTTCTTTCCCAGTGGTAGAAGAAACATGTCTGCCTTCTAAGTGACTTAGAAACTAGGGGTGCTTATACTGCACTAAGCCCCTTGCACTGTATGGAGGTCAGAATGAGAACATTTTTATAATATTTACCTGCACTAATATTTCTGCTTTGTTGAGAAAAGTATGTGTGCTGTCATGTGTGGTGAATGTAACCAATTGCGCTGTCTCAGTAAGCAAAACATGACGTGACATTGCCTACGAACATATTTTCCTATACAGAATAACATCATTGTGTGTAAAGGAAAAGTATCATGTGGAGTGGTTCCTAGAAGAATCATCTTCAGTGCTTAATTTGTTGCAAGGCTTTGACCTGTATTTTGGAAACCAAAACAAGACCCTGGAAGCAATATCTTCCAAATGATTTATCAGCTTCCCAACAGTGCTTCAAAATTTGAAATGGGTCACTTGGTTCATGAGCTATAGTTCAAATTAGAAAAGGTAGGGAAAATTGGCCTTGGCCAACTTGATGGCAGTTATAAAAAAAGTATAAGCTACCCATCAGGGTGGGTTATCACATCAAAAGGATCCATACATCTTCCACAAAAACTCACCAGAAGCCCTCCCACTGTTGCCCCTCCCCCCCGCCAAGCACCAAGAGTACAGAGCATCCTTTGCCCCAGACTGAGAGTTCCTGTCTATACCTTGTGACTAACAGCCACTGATAGACCTCTGCTCCACATTAAAGCACTACATCAATTTATGGAGGAAAGTTTAACCCTTTCCGAAGGGAAGGAAAAACTTCTTTTTTTGCATGATCAGGGATTTCTTCAGGTATGCAGTAATCTCTCTCTTGTCTGTGGGTGGCTCCGTTTTGGTGTCCTACTGATGGGCACGAGGCCACCCAAGTGGGTGATGAATGAGGAACCTTGGTTAGTCTTCCTCCTTCCCTCTCCCTCATCTTCATCCTGTGAGGAAGTCTCAGTGGGAAAGCAAGTTGTTGTGGCAACTCACAATGCTGTCCCAAGTTGTTATGTATTAGGGCTGGAATATTCCAGGACTGAGTACCAGAGACTGGCTGACCTTGGAGCTCTAGAACAATAGCCCACCCGGACTCTGGAGGTGACCAATGAGAAACTAATGTTATGTAAATAGCCTATCATTGGGAGTTGGGAGTGTTCGGGTGTGGTTTTTGCATGCTATTTAAATAGGCTGTTGCCCTGAGGGTTCAGTGTTGTATCTGCTGAAAGCTGAGCTGACCACTAGACATGGAGTCTGCTCATCCATGGAACCCAGTATTTAACACAAGTAGTGTAAGATGACCTTGTAAAACTTCAGATGACATTTCCAGTTGTCATAGCAATCTGCTTATGCTGAAGTGTGTGGCTCCTGTTGCTGAATGACCTGCTTGTAAAGTACAGAGCATTTGTGCAAACACCTGATCCATACTTGAATGGTCTCACTTTACTCTGCAGAAAGGTTCTACAGCACAATACACCTTGGTGCCAATTTGCTACAGGAACCCAAAATGGCACCTGACATCTGTTAAGACTTCTGGCACTATTTTGGTTGCCTTTGTAATCTTAGACCGATTTCACACAAGAGCTGCGCCCTTTGCACGCTTCTATTGGTCAATTTCTCACTCGAAGCCGCGCGGCCGCATTTTGACCCGCAGCTTTGCCCGATTTTCCCCGCAGTTTCATGATCCTCAAAAAACAGGATCATGAAACCGCGGGGAAAACCGGGCGAAGCTGCGGGTCAAAATGCAGCCGCCCGGCTTCGAGTGGGAAATTGACCAATAGAAGCAGGGCAAAGGGAGGCGCGACCGTGGCACAGCTCTTGTGTGAAATCGATCTTAGTGTTTGTGAAGTATCCCAGATGCATGCACAGATTGCAAGACCACTTTGAGGGTGTTGCCTCAGTTCAGGGACTAAAGGGGGAAATAGTTTCTTTTTTTGCACACCTAGAGGTTCTCTAGGTTCCGTGCGCCTTGGTGTTTAGTCATGCCGGCCACATGACCACGGAAATGTCTTCGAATAGCACTGGCTCTTCGGCTTTGAAATGGAGATGAGCACCGCAACCCTAGAGTTGCTCGACTGGCTTTTGAGCAAGGGAACCTTTACCTTTAGAGGTTCTCTCAGATATGCAAAACACTCCCCCTTCTCTGTGGCTGGCTCTATCATATGCATTTTTCTATCTCCACATGGGGCAGGATTTAAGAACATAGAAAGATCTCTGCTGGTCAGGCTGGTGGTCCATCCAGTCCAGCATACTGTTCACACAGTGGCCAACCAGTTGCCCTGGATATAGTAGGTATATAGATAGGTTTTGTACTATCAGTTGAGCAAGGAGCAACCAGTGCCAAAAGAAGAGCCTGTTGCACCATGGGACGGCTCCTTGGGATGACGGAAGGGTCCACGGCTGAGTACAGTGGTAGAATAAAATTCGACGGCTGTGCCTTGCATGCACCAAGAAACAAAAGATGAAGATTCTGATTATTTTTGGTATCATTCTGGTTGGAAGGTTTTCATTGCTGATTTTTCCACAGGGTGGACCACCTAGCTGGTGGAACCATATGCACAACCAGCACCACGCCAAACCCAATTGCTACCGCAAGGACCCGGATCTCAATATGCATCCCCTCCTGTTCAGCCTGGGGAAGCCACTCTCTTGGGAGGTGAGCATATACATGCTGTTATTTTATGCGCCTGCTACTGTCTGATTCACCACCTCATCCTGTGCAGCAAGGAAAAAAATGAAAAAGCAGAAAGGTGTGTGTGTGTGTGTGTGTGATCTTTTGCTTTCATTTATGTCAGTGACCTGGCACTGGTGGGGTAGTTAGACCCCTCATCCAAGGGATGTGCATACTACAGGATTCTGTGTCTGGAGGGATTAAAAAAAAACAGGCACAGAGCAAAATACATTCAGACATAGTTAATGGACAACAGTGTAATCAGAAATGTGGGGCATGTGAGTGAGTGTTTGTTGAAAGGAAGGAATGAGAGGGGAAGCATTCATTGGTATCACTGGATTTAGGACAATGTGAGAAATATCTTAGGTCCTGCCTCTCCTGCTAAGCTTGCTTACTGTGGTGCTGTCTCCATTTATAGCTTGGGAAAATGAAGAAAAAGTCTTTGCCTTATAACCACCAGCACAAGTACTTCAGCGGTGAGTGTCTTTGCCACCCTATACTAATAATGCAACTGCCACATGCCCCTTTCACATGGCTTTTTTCTTCTTGAACCTTCTTGTTGGGGCCAGCAGAGCTCTCAAGCGTGGCTTGGAGCAAACACCTCATCCTACTCTGGTTTCCACTTTCCCCGTACTTCCCCCTACTTTCTTCTCCTGAATCCACAGGTCTGCCTCTTAGTCTTTCGCCCCCTCTCCTGCTGGACACTCCCCTTCTCCTCTGTTCTCCCCTCACCACCTTCTTTCTCTTTCTCTCCCAAATTGCCATGTTCTCTGTTTCTCCATCCCCCTGCCATTGTTCCAAGCTTCTCACCACCACCACCACTGACCAGTGGGACTGTGTATTGTGTATCCAATATGACTCTTCCATCACCTAGCGAGTGGCAGAGGCTGGGAGCAGAAACAGTGCAGCTCCCACGTGTAAGCCTTCTACCATTTCTGTGGTCTCTCTGTACACAACACCTTTGAAGTTTTGAGTAGCAGTTTCTCTGCTTGTGTAGAAATCCTCTCTCCATTTTTTAAAGTCAGTTTTCTTCAGTATGAGGAATTTTCTGCAAACCACAGCTCTGTCTTCCCCTCGTCCGTCTGTGCATGGATTCACTGTGCAGATTTTATCTTTGATCCTCACAGGACTGTGTTCAAAATTAGATATAAATATGATGCCTACATTCTAGTTCCAGTTTCCTTGCACTGCTGATTGCCTTGCATCTGTCCACACAAAATATATCGGGGATTGCAGACTATACCAAGGGGCATGTTGTACTATGCATGAGTCCCCTGCCTTCTCATATCACATCATTATTCCTTTCCTACCAAAAGTGGACTGTGGGAAGCTTCTTTGAAAATGTTTGTAGATGGACAGTGGGGCTCAGAATGAGGACTCTTCACTGAATATAGGATAGTCTTCCAAAGGTTTGGCAGAAAGATGCTATGTCTATCATCGCCTACTCTAATACATATTCATTTTTGTCTGTCCCTCTCTGGTCAAACAAGTTTTGAAACTTCTTGAAACTCTACAAAAACCTGCAAATGTGTTTGAACAGAGACCACTTTGCAACAGAAAATAATCCATATGCATGCAAAAATAGATTTATCATGCTATCCTGAAAACTCTGGAAATGCTTATTGATGGCAGGGCTGAGATTTAAGTCAAGGACTACTTGATTTCTCACTCTTTGTAATGGCAGCATTCTTGTTTCCTCCTCCAGTGGTTGCTCCGGGCGCACTTGTCCCTTTCTTTCAACTGATTACATTCTACTTCGTATATACGAGGAAAAAATGGCTGGTACGTATTCCTAGTTAGTGTTGCTGTGATCCCGGTGAACAATGTGCATGGAAATCACATTAACGATATTTGCACAGCTGTTTTCTTTTAGGCTGGATATCCTGTATTTTTGAATTGCTGATTGGTTCACAATTGAAAGTTAGTATTGCCCACCCCCAGATGTGTTTGCATCTTTATAGGTGGTGGTCTTCATCATGACAACGGAAGTTAGCCAGATGCCACTCTTAGTACATTCTCAGAACATACTCGATTGTTGTTTTCTTAGCTTTCTGATTCAGTTAGGGAGGCCAGGTGACTATAGCTCTTGTCAACCTAGCAAGACGTTGTGCAGGGGAAGGTTGGGAGGAGTAACTTACAGGGGAAATAGATCCCAGTCAGGCCTATCCTGGGGGGGGGGGGTGTTGTGTGTGTTCATATGTGCATGGAAGTCACATTGACCTCTGGTGACTGACCCCTCCTGGGGGCCTGGGAATATTCAGAGAGGTGGCTGAATAAAGCCTGCCTCCGCCACCTGCCTCTGATATTTCAAGGTCGTCTCCCATCCAAGTACTTTCCAGAGTCGACCCCACTTAGGATTAGACAGGGAGGATAGAACTATCAGTGTTTATTACTCTCAGTGATGAAAATGGAACTTCTAGGTTCAGAGGAATAAAGCTCTTGAATACTGGTGGTGGTGGTGGTGGTAAACAACCAACAAGGATTTAAAACCCCATGACCAGTGTTCCCTATAAGGTGAGTTAGTGTGAGCTAGCTCACAGTTCTTTAGCCTCCGGCTCACAGATTTTTGTCTCCGCTCAGGACAGGATGGCTCCAGAGCAGTGTTCCCTCTAAGCTGAGTTAGTGTGAGCTAGCTCACTGTTTTTTAGCCTCCAGCTCACACATTTTTGTCTTAGCTCAGGAAGGAAGGCTCCAGAGCAAACTAATTTATGCAGTAGCCAAGTTGCTTGCTCACAACTTTAATGCCAGTGGCTCACAAAGTAGAGTTTTGGCTCACAGGACTCCACAGCTTAGAAGGAACATTGCTCCAGAGCAAACTGATTTTTGCAGTAGCCAAATTGCTTGCTCACAACTTTAATGCCAATGGCTCACAAAGTAGAATTTCTGCTCACAAGACTCCACAGCTTAGAGGGAACATTGCCCATGACCTGCCTGTAATCCTTCTGGGGGTATTGGATTTAGGGTTGCCAGGCCCCAGGTCCAGGCAGAGATTACCCCACCTTTGGGGGCTCCACTCTGCCCCCCAGCCAGTTGACCGGCAGGGGAACCTCTGCCCCCAAGCCTCATCCTCAAGCATGACCACCTGCCCGGCCACCCCTCTCCCTCCCCTGCTGCCAGATTTAAAGGGCTTCAGCTGCTTGGCAGGGACCATATGGCCTGCCAGTCAGCTGGAGGGCCCGTGAAATCTAGCAGGAGTGAGGGAGAAGGGCAGTCGTGGGTACAGGTTCCACTCACAAAAAGACCCTTTAAAGGGGCAGGCGCAGGCGCATGCTTGGCTCACAAAAAGACCCTTTAAAGGGTCTTTTTGTGAGTGGGGTGTGGTCCACAACACAGGGCTGATTACGCCCAGCCCTCTTGCTAGATTTAAAGGGCCCTCCAGCTGATTGGCAGGCCCTGTGATCTCTGCCGATCAACTGAAGCCCTTTAAGTCTGGCAGGAGGGGAGGAAGAGGGGTGGCTGGGCAGGTGGTTACACTTGAGGGCGGGGCTTGGGGGCATCCTTGCCCACCTCCAGAATGCCCCCCCCCAAATCCCCCCACTGGAGTGAGGAGGGGACCTGGCAACCCTAATTGGATTGGCTACTGTGTGAAACAAAATGTTGGAGTAGATGGAACACGGGTTTGACCAGGCATGACTGCTCCTATATTTGTACATTCATGTGTCCAGTATTGCATAGTCATTCTATATAATGACTGGAGCTCAACTTTGTTTATACCTCTCCATGGCGTTCAAAGTGAGGGGCTACAGAGGGAGGGCATAATTGTCAAAAATCACACTCCCTCTCTTTCAGGAGTAGAACTGCCTATCACAAGCTGAAAGTAAATTTATGATCTAAGCCTTTGTCTCTGATTACTTATCCTGAGACAATTAATATGGTGGGGGCCAGATGGAAATCTCTTGAAGGCCAAGTTTGGCCTCTGGGCCACCATTTTCTTGTTCCTCCTTTTTCGTTGAAGAGAAAGAAGCATTCTCTTGAGCTAAGTATCCCTTGGTGAAGATGGAGGCATTCTATTGGACTTTGACTTGGTCAACCTTTGGAGGTGCGCTGCAGACAACTCTCAGTTTTAAGTAACTATCAGGCCTGTTGCTAATATAAGTGAAGATACAATTGAAAAGAAGTCTGTGAAGTCATACCTGTGGGATGTATTAGGTCTGAACTGGATCAGCCAACCCTTTGAGCAGAACAGTTGATTCCAGACATGTCCTAAAAGAAAAGACCCAGGTGAACAACCGATTCTAATTGAATGTTTTCCATGGTATTCTTGCATGGAAATCATTATATAAGTACATCATGCCAGAACAGGTTCTCTGCAATTTTCAGTGGCATAAATAAGCAAACATGGAATTTGATGTGGGTTGGCAAGGGATTGTGTTAAAGCTAAATCTAGACTAGAGTTACAAATTATGTCATGTTCAGACCTGAAGGTTTTATCAGTGCCCTTGTATCTACCAAGGAGTTCAGGCTGGTGTACATGGGGTTGATTATTTATAACAGTCTTGAGAAGCAACCTTAAACTATGACAAGGTAACTGGACTGAGTTCACACAGTGAGCTTTATGGTGGGCAGAAATTTAAATGCAGTTTTATGCTATACAAATCAAATGCTATAATTATTTTAAAAAGCCGCTCTCATATAGATTTATACAGGGGTCATTTCGTAGAAAAAGAGGTGCAGGAACTCATTAGCATAACTCATTAGCATAACATTTGCATATGCCACACACCCTGACATCACCGGAACTGTGTCAGAAGGCAACACCCACTGCTCAGGCTCCACTGGACTGTTTTGAATTGCAAGCTATTGCGCGGGGGGGACGTGCAGATCTGTCCTCGCAGAGGAGGGAGAGCTTGTACCTAAATAAAACCTGGTCTTAAAGGTGCCACTGGACTGTTTTGGTCCAGTGGGGAGCTCTGCAACTTACCTGGCTGCTTCTTGCTCTGACTGAGGGCTGCTGGGAGCAAGGGGTGGGGCTTGTTGCATGTGCCCGCCCCCTGGGCTCTTTACTGCAGGAAATGACCCCTGGATTTATACACTGTTGTGATGGACTGCACTAGAAGTGCTGTACAAACAGCTGAAGGACTGTGAAGGGTTAATTCTTCACAGAAACAGACAGCCTTGAGTGACAGGCTGCTCCAAGCAATCTGATTGGTTAGCATCAGCTGAGCAGAAGAAGTCTTGAGAGAGCTGGATGCTGAGGAGAAGTCAGTCAGATTTCTGCCTTAACTGAGAAGAGTCAAGTACTGAGATAGTCTGAGTCTAACCCTGACAGGAAAAGGGTGTAGTGTTGACAGAGTCAGATTTCTGCCTTGACTGAAGATGGCCTGAATTCAGCCTTAGCTGAGAGCAGCTGAACACAGACAGAGCTGGGAGAAAATCTGACAAGGGAGTTTTGGTAGTAGGCGAAGACTCCCATTCACGCCAAGGAAAGGGTGTAGATCTTCTAGAGAGAGAAGAAAATTCCCTACCCAGTCAAAAAGAGTTATCACTGAAGAGTGCAGAGATCCCTGGTCTGGTGTGGTTAGAAACGGCCTTTGGAGACCTTACGAGTCAGTTAAAGAACTCAAGACTGGTGTTTCAAAAGAAGGGGTTTGGGTACTGGAAAGAGGGTACCATTCTTCTGGAAACCGAAAAAGTTCAGAGATTACTCAAAGAAAGTATACTGGAGTGTTTGGGGGAAAACACTGGAACAAAAGCCTCTCAACATTCTCATTAACCTGGTACATAAGAACAGAAGTCTGTGCTTGTGCTGGTTTTACCTCAGGAATTTCAACCCCTGATTTCACCTGCCCTTTCCCCTCTATGTTAACAAAAATATTTTGTTATTTTTGAATTTTAAAACGTATCAAGTGCCATTTTCAGTGGTTTAAGTTACAATCCTGACCCTTGTCTCAGGTATCTGGGTTCAGCAAAGAGCCAAAATACTATACTGTGACAGGGTGGGACAGCCAGATTTCTTCAGGAAAGAAGAAAACAGACAACTAGGTTGGCTCAGTCACAAAATGGAAAGAAAAATGGAGGGAAAATCTTGCCTCTGAGGGAGGGAAGTGGACGGGGTTGATATAACTGCCTTCTGGCACATAAAGGATAAGTTGTAGTGGTCTAAAAGAATTCCTTTTTTATTAATTTTTATTAAATCTATCTGGCAGGAGCTTCTCTTCATGTTGATGTTCTATGTCCGCATCTCTCTCATGTATCTTCCTTTAATGGGATTTAAGACCTTCATGGCACACTACTGGACAGTCAGGTAATAAAACTCCTTCCTGGTTGTTGCTTTTTTAGAGTGTACAGATTTATGGATTACAAAAAGGCACATTTCAGAAGGGTGTCCACATTAATATGGTATGGCAAAATCAACAGAGCCCTGTGGAACATCAAAGGCCAGAAGAGAGACTCAAGTGCATGTACAGATCAAGTTCTCCGGGAGGGTAGGGGAACTCATGGTATGCACATTTGGTACCCCAGAAGACAAGCTGCATTGCAGAACAGGCACAGGGTGGTATTGGGCACCCAAAGAAAGGAAGGCAAAGCTGCACAGAAGACACAGAGGAGCCATTTGGCTCTTCAGAAAGGCAGACAGCATTGGGGACACAGTGGATTGCATTTGCATTCATAGGCAGCCCCGCAGGGTTAGAGAGGGTCCAGAAGCAGATTATTTGGTCACCACCTCAGGAAGTCAGGCAGCAACACAACAGAGTGAGCACGGCTGACATTTGACTCCCAAGAAGATAGTGGGGGTTCACAGGACTGGATGCTCCTCCATTAAAAAAAAAATAAAGGAAAAATATCCTCTGTAAAACAACAACAACAAAACTATAAGCTCCAGCCTTGCCATCTGTGGCACACTGGTATTCTGTGCATAGGACATATTTTTGTACAGAGAAACATTCAGTCTCATGAACCCCCCTCCTCCCATCAGCCCTGTAGTCAGAGATAGCATAGCCCAGACAAAAATGTACCACTTCATTGACAGCAAGACCTTTGTCTCCACAGGTTCCTGCAAGCTTGTTGGTTCATCTGGGTCTCACAAATGAACCATATCCCAATGCACATTGACTACGACAAGAATTTGGACTGGGTCTCGGCTCAGGTACTGTCTATGAAACATCTTGTTGGGAATGGGTACTCCCTCTCCAAACACATATTTTGACAATTTGAAGATGGATTCACAAGTAATTTTTTGTACTAGGGTACATATACCTGGATCCTGACAAGAGTGTTAATGCTTAGATAATTATTCTGCTTTAATAACCTACTGCATTAATATATTGTGATATTTCACAGTTGTAAAATAGCTGATTGTAACCACCTTCAGATTAACATAGAAAAATTACCTTGAGGTTAAACCCAGCAACCTATTTATACAAGGATTGTGCATTTTCCTGCTTTTGCCCCATTCAGCAGTCATGGAACCCACACAGATTAATAGCTAGGCACAGGGGTCATTTCATGGAAACAGAGATGCAGGGGCTCATTAGCATAACGTATTTGCATATGCCACACCCCCTGACATCACCGGAAATGTGTCAGAAGGCAACACCCACCGCTCAGGCTCCACTGGACTGTTTTGGATTGCCAGCTATTTGGGGGGGGGGACGTGCAGATCTGTCCTCACAGAGGAGGGAGAGCTTGTACCTGAATAAAACTTGGTCTTAAAGGTGCTACTGGACTGTTTTGGACCAGGGGGGCGTGGGGGGGCCCTCTGCAACTTACCTGGCTGCTTCTTGCTTTGACTGAGGGCTGCTGGGAGCAGGGGGTGGGGCTTGTTCCATGTGCCCACCCCCTGGGCTCTTTACTGCTGGAGCTTCATTCCTGTGTGCTTCTGCAGGAAATGACCCCTGGCTATGCATGTTAGTGGGCTGCAGTGAGGTGTGGGAAGGGTGAGAAATTGCTCCCCAGTCCTTCTTCCTTCAGTGCAGCTGCATCTCATGAACAGCAGCCCACCAATCCACATGGTTAGTATTCCATGTGGATTATGCAGCCCTGGGAATCCACTTTCCCAGAGTCCGAAGGGACTACGTGTGGAGGGGAAAGTGGGTGAGATGTGCTACCTTCTGCTGATGGATTGCTGGATCCAACTTTTTCTTTTTCTTTTTGCTCAGAAATACAAATGCCAGATTTTATTAGTTAAAAAACAAAGCAAGTCTCTAGACTTCTTTAAAAAGCCCCCCAAAAGCCCTCTGGTAGCACTAGGGGGGAAACAGGGAAAAAGGCAGCTGACAGAGGAAAATGTGCACGCAACTCCTGTGCAGATGTGCCTTTGCATTTGTGGTGGTGATGAGCAGGGGTTATTTTGTAGAAAAAGAGGTGCAGGAGCTCATTAGAATAACTTATTAACATAACTTATTTGCATATGCCACACCCCCTGACATCATCGGAAGTGTGTCAGAAGGTGACACCCACCGCTCAGGCTCCACTGGACTGTTTTGGATTGCTAGCTATTGGGGGGCGGGGGACATGCAGATCTGTCCTCGCAGAGGAGGGAGAGCTTGTACCTGAATAAAACTTGGTCTTAAAAGTGCCACTGGACTGTTTTGGGCAACTTACCTGGCTGCTTCTTGCTCTGACTGAGGGCTGCTGGGAGCAGGGGGTGGGGCTTGTTGCATGTTATGCATATTATGCCTGTTATTGACTGAGGGCTGCTGGGAGCAGGGGGTCCACACCCCCTGACATCACCGGACGTGTGTCAGAAGGCAACACCCACCGCTTAGGCTCCACTGGACTGTTTTGGATTGCTAGCTATTGTGGGGGGGGAGAATGTGCAGATCTGTCCTCACAGAGGAGGGAAAGCTTCTACCTGAATAAAACTTGGTCTTAAAGGTGCCACTGGACTGTTTTGGATTGCTAGCTATGGGGGGGGGGCGCACAGATCTGCCCTCACAGAGGAGGGAGAGCTTGTACCTGAAGGTGGCCGGGGGGTGGGCTCTGCAGCTTACCTGGCTGATTCTTGCTCCTCGTGGCCCGACTGAGGGCTGCTGGGAGCAGGGAGTGGGGCTTGTTGCATGTGCCCGCCCCCTGGGCTCCTTACTGCCGGAGCTCCACTCCTGTGTGCTCCCGCAGGAAATGACCCCTGATGACAGAGAAACAAAGGATCCTTGCTCTATGGATGCATCCTTAGTTTACAGAAAGTCTGTAAGCAGCAGAGAACTTAGAAGTTGCCATTAGTTATATACCAGCTCTGCTCATTTTTGTTGTGAGGAATGGGAGGACATTTAATTGCTGTTAATATCAGTTAGCACCTTGTGAGGCCAGTTCAGTTTCCAAGAACTGAAATTTAACTTTATTTGCCATTTTACACATTCAGTAGCTAGCTGCCAGTAGCTAGCAGTCACAGTGACTAGGGAAGGGCTGTGAAATAATCCCTACAGCCAAATTAGATCCCCCCCCCACAACTTTAAAAGTAAAAGAAAAATGGTACTGAAGCCTCACGTGATGAAATGCTCTGTAAAGAATGTTGAATACTGAACACACTACGAACCTGTACCGTGCAGCAAAGAGGGCGACGGGGAGCAGGGCAGCATCTTAAATGGTCCTATTGGCTGCCCCCACCCCCTAGCCCTCTCCAACCTCTGGGATAGGCCCGGCAGTGGGCCAGGGCAGGACCAAACATCCCACACTTGTGGTGGCCTGGCCCCTTCCCCACCAGCAGGAGCTGCTGCAGCCGCCACGGCTCTCTTTGCCCTCCCCCACCCTCCCTGTGGGGCCACAAACAGGACCCGTGGTCAATCTGGGCCCCAGCTTGTGGCCCCAGTGCCAAGGGGAGGGTGTGGGGGAGGTCACCAAAGGGCGAGGGGGGTTCCCTTATACCCCATGCCCCATTAACCTGTTTGACAACCTAAGTTTGAATAACACACGCACAACCTGGCTTGGAATAAACTGGCCACAACTTCATTGGTTACAGCTGTAAGAAGCCTTGGCACAGCATGGGGAACTGGATCCTGGACATTGACTGACCCACTTGCCAGTCGATGTTCTCCTGCCCACCCCAGCCCACTGACTCGTGTCATGAGAACCATGGGATGACAGGTCGCTGGATCCCCCTAGGAAGACCTCCTCTAAGTTGCCTCCCCAGGCACCTGAGCATGAAGGTAGCCCCCAGGAGCTGGTGAACAGTACACACTCCTTGAATCCGTCACCACAAGATCCCTTAAGGGGATCCCCATACGGTGGAAAATGGACACACAGGCTGGCTTCCTGGGAAATGGATCCGGCCCCATGCTGATACCACTGCAAGAGCCGGGCCTTTTGCTGCCCAGCTCCTGCCAGTGCTCCTACAGCTGTGTAGCCAACTCCATGCAGCCAGATATCCATCCCCCAATGAGACAGGTGAACCCTCACCAGTGTTCCTTCTAAGCTGAGTTAGTGTGAGCTAGCTCACAGTTTTTTAGCCTCCGGCTCACACATTTTTGTCTCGGCTCTGGAAGGATGGCTCCGGAGCAAACTAATTCATGCAGTAGACAAATCGCTCGTTCGCAACTTTAATGCCAGTAGCTCACAAAGTAGAATTTTTGCTCACAAGACTCCACAGCTTAGAGGGAACATTGACCCTCACATGTCAAAACAGGGCTGCCAGGCAATGCGAAATGTCCAGATAGTGGAGGCTAGAGCCCCCCCCCCCCATGGCCTCCATGTGCTTGCCCAGCCTATTGGGCATCTGTCACCTTGCCATGTTGACGTGCTCCAGAATATAGGCAACTGGACCAGTATATGGTCAGAGTCAGGAGCATTAAATCAATGCCTGTGCAAGTCCCCGAGTCATTTCCGCAAGCTGTAGCAATAGTGCCAGGCCTGTAGCCATGGGGGGGGGCATTTGAGGGCGATGCCCCCACCAAATTAGCACTGCTCATCCCTCCCGGCCCCCAACTCCCCCCTCCCTATCCCTCCCAAGCTCTCATGAGCTGCTGGGGCTTCACCTTGGCTTCCTTTCCCCTGCTCAGCTCAGCCTCAGCCTCAGCCACTGAGACCTTCCTCCCCTTTCCCTTCCGCAGCCCATGGCAAGTGATGCAGGTTTCTGGCGGGGGTGGGAGGGGAGCTAGCCTGGGCTTTGCCCTTTGCTGGTGAGGAACGTGGGACTGAACTTGTTGCTGTGACCAGGAAATGCCCTAAAAGGCGAGGAGCCGTTGGTACTGCCCTGCAAGGCTGCCTTGTAGAAGGAATCCATGGCAGCCGTGGGCTTGCAGAACAAGATGCAACTCCTGGCGTCTGGCCTATAGCTAGCATGGGGCCCATAGGGCCCGGCCCCCTAGTGTTTCTTCTGGGCCCCCTCCTTCCTGGGCTGCCCCCAAAGTGCTCCAATTTACCACCTGCACTGTACTTTCATTTAATTAATTGGCGGGGGCCCCAAGGCCCCCTCCCAAAGAATTCCCTAGCTACGGATCTGCTTGGCGTTCATGCCGGTGTCACCAATTAAAAGGGCCCTGCAGTGTCCTCCTGCCCCACCAGGTGCTTCTCTCTCACTCTCACTCTCGCTCCCTCCTTCACTTACTGTTGGTAAAAATGGTCAAATATACTTAATTACTCAGAGTTTACAATGGATCTTTGCTTCACTGGAGAGGAGACATTTCTTTCTGTTTAAAAAGCTTTATTTCTAAGGATGAAAGATACACCGGAAACCTACAAAGTCACTAACATGTCTAGAGTTACATTTTCACATCCTACTTCTAGAAAGCATGGTCACACAAGAAGTAACTACCAATGGAGAATCTCCTTCTTGACCCTAGAAAGGAAGTCACCCGAGTACATTAACCAATCAGTGTTACAAGACAAACCACTTTTCCTGGGGCTTTCTCCTCATTGGCTCTGTGCCAGGTTTCCCTTCCAGGTCAGTCTAAACAATAGAATAGAAAGGTAAACACGTTAACCCTATAATGGCTGGAATCTAAGACCTTGCAACCCACACATTTCCAACACTTACAAGCACACAGCTGGGCCAGTCCACCCTAAGAGGACTCAGAGGTGCTGCAAAGCCAAGATCTTCTGAGACAGGAAAGGGTCTCCCTCCTCTGGCCTCCCTCTCGCTCTCTGGCTCTTAGGTCCCAGACTGACGGAAGAAGGCAGGGGGAACCAAAGACCTCCTCAAGGAACTCTTTTGCCTCCCCCTCTTTTCCTCTTTTCCTCTCCTCCTCCGCCTCCCCCATCTTTCCTTCACTCCACTCATCCAGTTCCCGCCACACCAAACAAGCTATCTCCCACCCCTCAGCTCATTGGCTGTGAATGAGGGAGAAAGCAGTAAAAAGACTGGGGGAGGTGCATTATTTTTAAAAAATTTAGAATTTCAAAAATAAAAATAGCAAACAGTCAGATATAGGGAGAAGGGAAATAATCAGCCACATGACAGTAACATCCTCAGGGGATAGGAACATGGGGATCTGGGAAAGGCAAAAAGAGCCAGGAGAAATGCCATGTTTTTTATTATTTTTGTGACACCAGAAATGATGTCATGCCCCCCTGGTGCCCCCCAACCGAATGTTTTCTGGCTCTGGTCCTGACTAGCACACTTGGGTGCTGGTGATGATCAGGGGTCATTTCATAGAAAAAGAGGTGCAGAAGCTCATTAGCATAACTTATTTGCATGTGCCACACCCCCTGACATCACTGGAAGTGTGTCAGAAGGCAACACCCACCACTCAGGGGGGAACGGGGACGTGCAGATCTGTCCTCGCAGAGGAGGGAGAGCTTAAACTTGGTCTTAAAAGTGCCACTGGACTGTTTTGGGCCGGGGGGCTGGGGGGAGCTCTGCAACTTATCTGGCTGCTTCTTGCTCTGACTGAGGGCTGCTGGGAGCAGGGGGCGGGGCTTGTTGCATGTGCCCGCCCCCTGGGCTCTTTACTGCCGAAGCTCCGCTCCTGTGCGCTCCTGCAGGAAATGACCCCTGAGATGCAGGCAGGGCTGTACTGAGGGTAGAATGGCACCTAGGCCATGTCACAGCCAGTGTAGTCCACAGACTGCTCATGCCCAGCTGCCTCACCACAGAAAAAAGCTAGAAACGCTTTCATAGCCTGCACCGGGCATGGGCCTCCTCCTCCCGTCAAAGGACCCAGCCACAGATGAACCCCGCCCCCCAAAGGCCAAGGTAAATGCAGCCTCAGAGTGGCACCATAAGGAAACCTGCACACAGGTGTAGCAGGGAGCTTCCTTCATCCTTCTACCGCTCTGTGAGGTGGGAGATATTTATGCTGTCAAGTCACAGGTGACCTCATAGGGCTTTCAAGGCAAGAGACATTCAGAGGTGGTTTTCCATTGCCTGCCTCTGCATTGTGACCCTGCACTTCCTTGGAGGTCTCCCATTCAAGTACTAACCAGGGCTGACCCTGCTTACTTTCCAAGGTCTGACATGATCAAGCTATCCTGGACTATCCAGGTCAGGGCAATGTATGTAGAAAAATAGACAAAATTCAACTGTATGTTTGGGATCTGTCTACCTGGATGAAAAATGTTCCATTCACTCAAATGGGGTCTAGTTTTATTCTAGTTTTTTCCTTAAAAAAAAAAAAAGTACACCTGACTAGGGCATGACCTCAATACCCTTGAAGGATCTTAGGTACCATGCAATTAGGTTAGCAAAGCTTTAAATACATCTCTTTGAAGCACATAGTAGTAATGACTTGAGAAAGATTGGGACACAACTTATGATTGGTCATGAAATGCTGTTCAGATCTGATAGGCAAATTTATTTATGTGTTTTTTAAAAACAGGTTTATTCTGAATAGTTTACTACCATTTACTACTTCATTTTTCTACTGAATTTTAAACAGTCATCTATATATATAAAAGAAAGTCCCCTCACCGTAAAATCACCAAAAACCAAACCGCTGTACCCAGAGACACCAAATTCGGGGAGAGCGCTCCTGTTGCGGTGTAGGTGCTCGCTAAGAAGGGATTTTTAGAAATTCAACCCTTAAGTGGATCAAAAGGGGGAAAATGTGCTCCCTCCATTGATTCCTACCTCTCTGGACCCCCCACTCTATGATCGGTCAGCTGCAGAGCTCAATGTTCTGAAGTAAAAAAACCCAACAGTTACAGGGGACTGCAGAGAACTAATGACAGTTGAGGAAATCAGGAGTGGCCAAGGACCATCTGTGAGGTGAAGCAAAGCTGCTGGCCCAGCCTCTCTGATGGCTTCCAACACACTCCCCCCACCCCCTACATCTAACAGGTGGTTGTTTGTCAGGTGTAGCCCCACCTCCACAGTGGCTTCTAATACTCCTCCCCCTCCCCTTCCTACACTGGACAGGCAGCTGCCTGTCAGGTGTAGGAGAAGAGGTGGGATGGCTTCCAACATACTCCCCCCACCTCCTACACCTAACAGGCGGTTGTCTGTTAGGTGCAGCAGTGGTTGCAGGGTGCTTAAAGCCATTAGGGAACCTGCCCCAGCAGTAATGCCTTAGTGATCCTGCCAGCCCTACCTCCACAGTGACTTCTAATGCTCCTTCCCCCTCCCCGTTCTACACTGGACAGGCAGCTGCCTGTCAGGTGTAGGAGAGTAGATGGGATGCTTACAGCCGCCGGAGAGGTTTGCTCAGCAGGATTGCCTTAGCACTGCTGCTGCCCCTGCCTCCCTGATGCCTTTAAATAAAATCCCCCCCAACACCAGACAGTCCAGTATCTGTCAGGTGTAAGAGCAGGGCCAGGGTATGAATGTTTATGGGGAGATAGTAAAGGACATTTCTAGAAGCCATTTCGATGTGTGCCTCCCTCATGAACCTGAAGAAATGCCCACCACATCACCACCCCCTCATACCTCGTACTGCCCCCAAGAAAGCTCCTGGCAAACGTCGAGCCAGATACACCAATGCTACAAGGAGGAGGCAACTTAGGAATGCGGCAAAGACATAGTACTCCTGTGGGGCACTGAGCTGCACAGGCCAAGTACCAGCAAGATCACCCTGAGGTGCTCAGAACACAGTCTCCATATGAGCAAAACTATCCAGGAACACAAGTAGAGAGGCCATCACTTTTGTGGAAGGTGGCAGGAGTTAAATGGACAGTTCTATGTGGCCTGCTCCAGAGGGAGCTCATCAAGCAGCCTGGTGATCCTGGCACCTGAGGGCAGAACCACCACTGTGGTCTAGAGAGAGGTCCTTCAGTAGAGGGGGGGGGGAAGGACGTATGCCTCAGTTCATTTCTTACACTACAGTCTTCTCAATTAGAATTCCTGCAACAAATGTTACATTTCAAACTTTACATCATCAGTATTATAACTGGAATTATGGAACTTAAATACTGTAGCGAAGCACGGGTATCAGGCTAGTAATAAACATAAAACAATGTAACGAACAGCAGTGCTTCTAAGAAGAAAACTGCACATTAAGTTCCACCAGCAAAAATGCACAAACTACAGATGACCACAAGGTGCTAAAATCCTGGGTAAACGAAAAGATCTTGAATGGATATGGAAGCAACAACAACTGAGCCCACGGCAGATACACCAGTGGAAGGAATTCTGTAATCTGGTGCCACAATCAAGACCCTTTCCCCGTTTCATTTTTGAAGATTTTGGTAGAGCCTTTATAGTTGTAGGGTGCAGGGTTGCCAGTCCTTAAGGTATGAGTATCGGGATATAAAATAATAATAATAATGAGATCTGAATCTAGTTCATACACGTTTTAAGAACATTTGGGGAATCTATTTTTTCACTATCATGCTTCTCCTATTTTACTATTATTGGTCAGCCCAGAAAAGGATATGTTGGAGACACTTTCTGAGTGATTACCTGGCCCTCCCATGACAGCCCCCCAATCAGAGGTAATTCCTAGAGCATCACGAATGCTGTGACTTCACTTCCAGGTGATCACCCAGAAGTGGCATCACAACATGTTAAATACTGGGTTCAAGATGCATTGCAGTGAACAGCTCTACTTCGGCCCCGGGCACACGGGCCGGCTGAAACGCGGCTACTCAGAGCCGCTCCAAACTTGATACGCCGCGGTGGGATCCCACGGATCCCCTAGCCGTGGCGCAGCACTCCCCGGCACGCTCAGATGCTGGGGAGGAAAAGTCCGAGGGGAGGGGGGAGGCTGCCGAACTGCGCATGCTCGGGCATGCGCAGTACGGCTGGGGGCCGGGATGCGGCGGCGCAAGGATGCGCTGCCGATCCCACAGCCCTGCCTGCGCCGCACCAATGGATGCAACCACATAGAGAGGTGGTTGTTTTTTGCGGCGCAGTTTGGGCCGTTGGGACGGATCAGGGACGGAGACGGCACGCTCGCCAGATGTTGAGGTGAGATCGCGCCTGTTTGCTCCGCCCCAGTTCCGTCCCGCTCCCGGCCCAAATGGGCTCGTATGAACGGGGCCTTCATTAAGTGATTTCAGGAACAAGACTAAAACCTCAGGGCAACAGCCCTGTTTAAATAGCATGCAAAACCCACACCCAAACACTCCCAACGATAGGCTATTTATATAACATTAGTTCCTCATTGGCTACCTCCAGAGTCCTGGTGGGCTATTGTTCTAGAGCTTCAGGCTCAGCCAGTATCTGGTAGACAGTCCTGGAATGTTCCAGCCCTAATACATAACACAACATATGCAATGTTTTCACACAGGGTTTTTTCCCCTCCTGCTCAATTGATCAAGTTCAAGTGATTGAGGGCTGGAGTGGTAGTTTGCCTGCTGCAGGCAGGCAAATGGTAAGCCTAGATGGCAGGAAATAGACAGAAGGCGGTAGAGCAGAGCCTGGGCAAGAATAAATAAGACTATGAAATAAGACTACTTATGTCTTCTTTTCTGACTCTCTTCCTTAGCTGGCAGCAACGTGTAATGTGGAACAGTCTTGGTTCAATGACTGGTATACCGGACACTTGAATTTCCAGATTGAACACCAGTGAGTATGGTACATGAATGAAAGCGGGTGCACTCTGAGAATATTTCTGGCAGAGAACTTCATCAAAATGGAGGAACTGGTTACTAAGGGCCTAAATAAAAGTTATGAAAGGTGTGGTGTGTGTGTCTCCCTGCAATTGGTAAAATGGGAGTGCACCAGGGCAACAATCACATGCTCAATGACATCATATCATTAGGTTTTTTTAACTTCACATTACTTGAGAGATGTGTGGAGGAGGGGGAAAGGATGTGAGTAGCAGCTACAAGTTAGGCCCTTCAATACATATTTCACTGTGGGAACCTTCAAATAGCTTCTGAAAACCTGAGAGTTTCCAAGACTAATTGGGTAATTGGGTATTTAACAACTCCCCAGTGTAGGTCTCTGTCAGGGTTCCCAGTCAATCACGCTCAACACCAGGTCTTTAGAAGATTCACTTTATTGAGAGAGAAAGTACTTGAGACACTATGAACTCTTGTGTCATGAAAGGCGGGAGAGGCACGGGGCTTTTGGGATATACCCCCTTCAAAGGAGATCCTCTGATACTACAAAGCCAATAAGCAAGCACTGTTAAGCAGGGGCGAACACCCAGCTGTTAGGTTACCAGCGGGACGCTCAGGGAAGAAGCGCCTCTAGCCTCAAGGACGCCTGCCACATAAGCGCAAGCAAAGGAGAAGTAGTGGGGGAGGCGAGTGAGCACATCCCTTTGACTGAACTTTCCAACCCATGGCAGCATTAGCTGACAGTCTCAGACTGATAGTGATTCAATTATTACCACTGATTTTGTTGCACGATTCTTTGCTAATACAATATTTCAAATATGCTCTGACTTAGAGGCCAGTTGGGTAAAGAAAAATCATATATTAGAGGTCGTGGAAGCACGATATGGTCCTGTTTTTATGTTTACTGTTTTAGTATTTTGTCATCTGAATTTTCTTTCTGTAAGCCATTTTGAGACTTTTGTCAGGATAAAAATTCACTAAAAGTATTTTAAATCAACCAACTGATAAATGAAATAACTGCCTCTTTTGTTCCCACAGTCTCTTTCCCATGATGCCTCGACACAACTACTGGAAGGTGGCCCCTCTGGTGAAATCCCTGTGTGCCAAGCATGGTGTTGACTACCAGTGCAAGTCCCTGCTCGCTGCCTTTGCAGACATTTTACAGTAAGTAGACATTGGCTGTAAGACCTCAGCTATACATGAATAGAACTCCAAACATTTTTTTTTAAAGATTTGTGCACTCAGGGCAGTGCCATAACTAGCTAATTTTGTGCCTGAGGCAAGAATATAAAATTGAAACTCTCAGGTAAATACATAAATAACAAGAGTAAGAATGACGCATCATTATTTTTAGTCATGATATACTTTTCCTGCACCCCTCAGCTTTGTGTGCCTGAGACGAGGGCCTCACTTCCCTTGCCCTTGTTAAAAGCTCTGACTCAGGGACCCAACATGGATGGAGAATGTGATGTAAGGGGAGAGAGGCTGTCATGATCTGGGCTGGGCCACCAGAGGCCTACTAGACCCAGGGAGCCTGGCTAGCAGTAGGTGAGGCTGGGCCTACAACTCCCAGAAGCCCCGGAGAGGTTTTGGAGCCAAAACTGACCAATAGGGAAGAAGAGGGCTGGGGGGGGGGGAAGGGCTGGTGCCAGAGCAAAAGCTGTTCTTCCCAGGAGCCAGAGCCAGAAGGGACTGAGGCTGCTGTGGGGGAGAGATCCTAATCCTGGGGGAAGGGTGAGTAGTCTAGTGTCACTTGGAATAGTGATCTAGGGACAGTATATATTTAGACGCGTTAGGGCATTTAGTTTCTTTTCTTTTCACCCACTTACTGTTATTCTGCACTTTGTTGTTTGACCTCCTATGAAATAAACTATTTTCATTGTTCACTCTGCCTGGTCCTCACCCCTGTTATTTGGCCAAAAGGGAGGCCTAAAGGTCTTGGGAAGGTACTCTGGGCCTTCTCAAGGGAGCCTGGAACCAGAGTGGTGGCAGCGTCAGGTGACACCCCATCTGAGCCGTGACAGAGGCTTAAGCTGGTCTCTGCACACGATTGGCAGAAAATAAGAAATGCTGGGGGCTCTGTTCATGGAATCCCCAGTGTTGTGTCTGTTTCAGCCCGTATGACTTAAGCAGCTTTTGTTGTATAAATTCATTTTAGCTTCCTCTTGGTTACCTAGTTTATATTATTACATACTTCCTGTGTGTAACTCTGCCATACCATAAATAAATAAATAATGGCCTCCACTTGGGTCTGACTGCTGAGAGAAGGAAGGATGAAGCCGTAGCTGAAAATAGGCAGAGTGATGGGAGAAAACAGGGGACGAGGCTATGGATGCAGTGATGTCATTTCTGGTCATTGTGGCTGCGACGCGCCTCAGATTCCCCAAATCTCCAGGGTATTTTTCATAAGGATTCAGAGGAATATCTAGAGCATCACTGGCACAATGGAGGAATTTCTAGAGCATCACACCCAGCGACATTCCCCTCCCTATGCTCTCCCCCCAGAAGCTCCCAGGGGTTGCCAGCTTGTGCTGAAAATCAGGCCCGGTGTATCGATAGATTATTAAGATGGCAGCTTTCCAATTAACCCTTTTTTGTCTGGTAGTAAAAGACACATTCTCAAGTGCTAACAATCTTGCAGAGTCTTCTCTCCTACTTCCTTGCCTCTCCATGGCAAAATCTTTGGTTTGCCTTTTCTCTGCCTCCTTCTTTTGTTTAAACATGAATATTTTCTAGATGATCTGAAAGCCCTTTTCAAACATCCTAAATGGGAGAAAGGATCTGTGATGGTGGTGAGGGACTGAGACTGTGGTGGCAGCTCTACCTTTGACATATTCATATTCATTGGAAGGTAGTGCTGTGTTACATACCCCCTCCCCATTTCCCTGAGCAGTGAGAGATTCCACAGTAGTGCTTACATTGGCCCCGGTCACACGGAGAATTTGCTGTGCGAAAGACACGAATGTTGGGCAGAGTTTTGGGAACGCGATCACACCGCAACATCTGGGAAGCATAGCGCACCCGTGGCCAACCCGTGGTGTCCTGCCGAAGATGCAGAGTTAAAAATTACCAAGGAAAGTGTACTAGTATCCAGAAAACACGTGGCACAGGCGGCCGTCTGATTGTGGAAGCGCTAGTATTCTGTGGCATCTGGCGCCAGTGCACATCCCATTGCAAACCGGATGTTTTTTGTAAGCGCATGCACACAAACACAAAACTGAAAGCTGTGTTGCTCCGCAGAACTGTGCACGCCCACAAACGCGAAACACTTTTTTGTCATGCTGCAGCATTGCCGTGTGATCACCAGTTAACAGCTGAAGCACAGAAACTTGGGGGACCTTGTGATTGGGCTACTGAGCTTTACTTTGCTCCGGGGCGAACAGCCACGCGCCCCCCCTGCATTATCTGGCCCGTGGTTCCCTTATTTTGGGGGCAAACAGCCACGCCCCCCCCCTGCATTATCTGGCCCGTGGTTTCCTGATTTTGATTCCCTTTGGAAGAGAGAGCACAAAAGACTTAAACTGTTTTTGTAGTATTTATTTTAAAACAGATAAGTAGAGCACATCTGCAGGGCCAGAGGCTCCTACAAGACAACAGATTTCCCACCCCATATCACATCCCAGAGCGAGCGATGGTGCGCACCCCGAAGGTCCTTCAGACAAAATACAGTGGTGTCTCTCTGCTTCTCCCTTAGTCTGTTCCAGAATCAAAGCTGCTGTTTCTTCACACACAGACCCATATCTGATCCATTCCTTTAGCTGACAGGGTTACCTCCTCCAATCCCTTACAATCTTGGCCAGGACCATCTCCTGACACTTAATCCCGATTGAGATGAGGTATCCAGAGTTTTCAAAAATCATTTCCTTTTTTTATCATGTGCTCTGGAGCTCCTGAGGCATGCCATTTTAGGCCAAGCCCATAGGATAGAACTACGTTTTGTATTTTTACAACAGTAGATAACCAAGTGCATGTGTGTTGGGTTTTCTTCATGCAACTGTGAGGTTAAAGCATGGTTTCCAGTTGCATGGAAAGAATCACACACACATACATGTTACATTGACCTACCCTATAGCATGTTCCAATGAATACATGTAGGTCAGAGTGTGTTGCTGTGATCCTGCCTCCTATGTATGTTAGTTTTCCCACTTAAAATGACAGAAAACATCTATGCCTTATCAGCTGTAATTAATGAGATACCTCTTCCTTTTACAGCTGTCTAAAGGAGTCAGGAGACACCTGGCTTGAAGCCTATTTACATGCATAAGAAAAGGACAGATCTTCAAAAAGGATAATCTTTTTCATACTACTGCTACCACAGAGCTCCAGCATTTGGGGGGGAAGGCAGGCCTGGCTTTGAACTCATCACACCATGAATGAAGAGCTTCCTCTTCAATAGCTGAGACTTGATCTAACCACTGGACCCTGTTGCCTAACAATGAGATATTAGGAACAAGTCAGGCAGGGAATGGACTTTGTTTTGGGATAAGAAGCTACTTTGTTTTGCCTTCGGGTAGATTCCATGAGTTCCTTTCCAACTGGAATTATTTGGGGGCTTCAGTTGTCTGGGAATTATTAAAAGCTAGTGTGGTGTAGTTGTTATAGTGTAAATGAAGTTTGGGGAGACCCAAGGTCCAAATCCCCAGTTGCCATGAAACTCACTGGAAGACTTTGGGGTCAAGTAGTTTTTCACAATCTAACCTATATCACAGGACTGTTGTGAATATTAAATGGAGGACGTGGGCACCATATATGACCTCCTGACCTCATTGAAGGAAGGGTGAGATAAAAATGTAATATATAAATAAAGTTTTGGAATGGAAATGTTGTGCGTCTAGTTCTAATATGGCACAAGCTAATGGGGAAAGGACGTTTCTTTGAGAAGAGGTGAAAGCAACCTCCGGGTTTTGGGGTTTTTTTTTTTCCTGCTTGCCCATTGTTAAATGGGCAAGGTTTATTAGTTTTTTAAAGAGTTATATAAAACAAAAGAAAAAGAGCAATACACTTCAAAAATATCCAGCCAACGTCTCGTTCATAACATCTTTAGATACATAATTCCCTTTATTCCTTTGTTAATCTATAATCCACAAGAAATATCATTAAGTAAAAATTTGTTCCCAATAAACAATTCATTTTTTCTATATCCTATCTGCTATAACTATTATTAATCAATTTTATAACAATAAAAATATAAAAGAGAAAAAAACAGGTATTTCACAGCAATTAGACAGTTCAAATTTCTTATATAATATCAATCTAGTCCCTTCTTTCATATTTTTAGCATTGTTAGCTTTCAAAATCCCCTTTGTTTGCAAACCTAAACATAGTAATTTATCTTTTCTCCATAACATCAGCTCTCAACTTTACAATGCATTCAGTTCATACTCCCAACGAACTGATGGGACCAAGGAGAACCAAATGGACCCCTAAAAAAGCTCCAGCAGTTGGTGAGTCTCAGAGCCCCTGAGAAACTCGACCACATTGCTGTACTGTTGCCCCGCCTCCTGAAAGCAACCTCTGTTGAACTCCAGTGGATACAAGAGGACTTTCTTGTGTACTTGCACAAAGTTCACCTATGTCCTTTGAGGCCATTAGAGCACGCCACAACAATCAAGTTGCTCAGTGAACAGCTAAAACTATTTTGGAGCAAGGCAACCTATCAGCCCTAGCCCACCAGGGACAGAGTGTTAGGCACATGTGGGACACTGGATCACAGCTAGTTTATTGGTTCCTTTGCCCTTCTGTTGCCATCTTCTACCAGCACGTGAAGACTTATTTCATTCGTGTTGCCTCAATGATCCCTCCTTCCTACCTAATATTTTGGTTTTTATGTTTTTGTACGTGTTTTAGTTCTGGTTTTGTTTTGTGTGTCTTTGGGTTGGTTTTAAAATGTGGTTTTATTATGCATGTTTTAATTGGCTAAGCCCCTTGGTGGCCTTTATAAGGGCAGCAAGGTGAGGCAGAGATTTTGTAAAATCAATAGTGTGTGCCAGCACTTATGAGATAAGTGAGTCCCCCATCTTGTGTCAAGCCTGCTGTCTGAACTGAGAACAAGTAAAAGACTGTCTAGAGGAACATCACCCCCACCACTGCAAGCTAGAGGAAATGTTTTAGCAAGACAGCACAGTTCTGTACAACATAGTGGAGGAAGAGTTAGCAGCAGCCCGAGTCCTGGAATGCTTCTTGGAACACAGGATGAACCACAGGCCAGGCAGCTGGAGCCCTAAGTTACTGTTTCCACTGCAGAAACCAGGGCATCTGGCTCTACGCACCTCTCCCTTGCTCACAGCAGTCTTCTGTTGGCTTCTGCAGTTTTCCCTCCCCAGAAAAGACACACACCAGTCCACCTTCAAATGAGCTATATTCAATACAGGAGGATACAAAACTACAGTTTCCCCACAGGTAAGGGAAGTCACCGCACCCTGCCAAAGGGATTCTTCTCACTGCTCGCCGTTCCCATTGACTGGGCGCTTCTTGTGGGCCTCAGATTCCAGGTAAGCCTTGAGAAGGGGCCTGGCACTAAGCCAGCCAGGCAGTCAGGTGCCAAGACCAGGTGCGCATGAAGGACGTCCAGCAAATTATAGTCCACAAAGGAGATCTGGAGAAACGTGGCCAAAAAAAAAATGTGTCCAGGGGAGGAAAGCAAGAGTAACAAGTGCAGGACATCAGCATAATTACTACCATCATAATCTCTGTTTAGGCAGGAGACAGTTTGTATTGTTTGACCCCAATTCACCATACTACAGCCACAAACACCAGGGTCAAGTTGAGCATTGTCCAGTGCTACACTTTGCAGAGTTAAACCTTTATAAGCTCACTGGCTTTAATGGGCTGAGAAGTGCCTAACTCTACTCAACACTGCAGTGTTCATCTTCTACTGAAGTAGTTCCTTCAGTCAGTTTTGGGTGGCCCTATTTGAAAACTAGGCAAGGCTTTGTAGAGGTCAACCCTGCTAGATCCTTGGCTGGGAAGATCTCCTGCTAGGAAAAAGGCAGGTCCATGTCTGTACCTCCATGAGGTTGCAGAAAGGCACAGAATCCAGTTTCCTGGGAATCACAGCTTTCATTTTTTTTAAAAAAAAGCCATTTTCCAGCCTGGGGATGAGAAACAGGTTAACAGTGCACAACAGCCAGCCAATGATGAATTTTCAGTAGGAAGAGTCACAGAGATAAGGTGCGTTACCTGTTTGCCTACAATGAAGGCCTTCCCACCATTATTCTGAGCCAGAAGATTCTCAAAAGGACGCAGCTCCTCTGGCAAGGCCTCAGTATAGGCAGCTTTACCATCCTCCTGCCAAGGGAATAATCAGCATGGAAAACACTCTCTGCTCCCCCCCGACGCGCGTCCCCCCCCCCCCCCCCGGGTTACCTAACTACCATGAGGAAGAGGCGGGAAGGGAGGATCACCAGATACAGTTGGGCTCAGAATTCTAGCCTCTGATGGAGGAGAGCAGCCATGTCTAGAGGCAGATGAAGCAATGGAATCTAGAGTCAACTGGCTCTCTACACCCCAGGAAAGCCTGTTCTACCCACATTCTCAAGCAAAGGAGGAAACCAAACCGGATGACGGTGGGATCTGGATTTTGCACTCTTGTAACTTCACTTTTCCGTTTGATGGAATCGGGACAGTTCAAATACTTTGTACCTTTGGTTAACTGGAGTTTGTATTTACTTTTCAAGCTCAATTACAGAAATGCAAACATCAAGGCCACCACTAAATTCACAGACTTGAGAAACATTCAGGCTTCCCCCCACACCTTCGCTATATTAGTTGTCTGTTGTAAGGTCTTCTTTCCAGTGGCTGAGAAACAAACTCAACCAGCTAAAGACCCAACTCACATAGTTATGACAGATGAGTCTACCATACTTCACACCAGGGGTCTTGTTGTAGAAAAAGAGCTGCCGGAGCTCATTAGCATAACTCATTAGCATAACTTATTTGCATATGCCACGCCCCCTGACATCACCGGAAGTGACAGAAGGCCACACCCCCTGACATCACCGGAAGTGTGTCAGAAGGCCCGGCTACTTACCCTCCTGCTTCATCCTCATTCCCAAACGGAATGAGGATCGAAGCAGAGGGCGGGGTAAAGAAGGGGCGGGGCTTCACCACGTGACCGCCCCACCCCCTAGAGGTTCTCTTCCGGAGCTCCATACCTGAGAGCTCCCCCCCGACTAGAGCCCTGAAGATAAATGAAATGAAGGGATCACTGCAAAAGCATCTTTATATGTTTGTGCATACCAACAGTATTACAGGGATCAGATGTGGAAGAAAAATCATACAGTCAAAATGGAAGCCGATGAAAATCATGCAAAACAATGCCAACGGGGGGGGGGGGACCAA